TTACTATCGTTATCTTTCCAACTACTTCTTTTGAACGTTTGTCACTCTCTTGTGAACTGCTATTTCGAGAGTGCTTTGATAGTTGAAGAAGACTTTGTTCTGTTGAGGCTAGAGAGGTGAGCAGAGTAAGCCTGATTCCCCGTTTGGACTTCGCTGTTGACATCCATCCCAAGGCGCTCATATGACTTTATGCAGTTGCAAGAGCCGTAAAACCTTATTAAAGCGAAACTCACATTCTCATAGTCAGTAATTGTTTGATACGAATAGGATCAATGATATAGCACTTGGAAAAAGGACAAGGACTGTGTTTCTCTCGCCCTCTATCCGTCTGTTTGCACACCCCTTGCAACCATCTATCCTTCCTCTTGCTTTCAATAAATAAACCTTTATTTTGTGAATGTAAAGTTGTTTTATAAATCTTAATGTTGAACTATTATTGTACCTACTCATTCACATCTTTTTAGTCAATGATTGTCTGACACAAACATGATCACACACAAAGCAACCGAAAAAGGGACAAGGGGCAAAGAAAAATGATTTAAAAAACAAACAACAAATACCCGTGAAGACAAATTTAAACTTTACAGTCCCTCAAATTAAACAACGCCCCACCGGTAGCACTAACAATATCTGCAATGCCCAGGAGCTACTAATATAAAGAAAATTCACCCCCTAACACCCAGGTAAAGTTCTATAAAGGCTCTTGGCGTACGTCCAGCGAGTTGTCCAAGAATTCGTCCTAAGGATTTTCCCTACTCTATCAACAACCGACCCAGGTTTGTTTTGTTTTTTTAAAACTGTTTCACATATCAAGCTCTTAGAATGATATGGCGATAACGTCATGACTCATAGTTTTTGAGAAAATGAGGTTCAGAGATTCATACCATGAAAATTAAAATAGTACTATTATCTTTGAACCTCATTCGTTAAACTAAAAAGAAAAAGGAAAAGCAAGAAAAAAAAAACGAACAAATAAACCAAAAAATCACTGGCCAGACAGTCTCATGCCTCTGACACAGTAAACAGTTATATAATATACAGTTTGTAATTCAACTTTCGCAAATAAATGAAGTTAGCATACTGTCATTCTGATGATGCGATATTCTGTTTTGTCCTCATTTTCTTTGGGTTTCTGTCATGGGAGAGCTTTCATCAACTAACATCAGTTGTTAAGGTCGCTGAAAAATATTCCCCTTTAAACCTCACAATACATTTATACTGGCTGATAAGCGTGTTCCCTAAAATTGGAATTTGATTTTGTTTTATCGTTTGTCTCGCGAGTGGAATTCGATGCTTTTAAAGTGGTTTTCGT